ATTGAAGGTCATATTTACCTATCACTTAATTTAATGTAATTTACATTAGACATTTTCTGTATTTGTTATACATTTAATAGAAGAGTTTGGATAATAATTACACTTATTAGATTAAGTCGTTGTTGGTAGATAGTAAAACATGCAAAATAAAACAAAAAGCTGACTATAAGTGAAGTTTATCATCAATTTTAAAAATAACTATTTTAATAGAAATATTTATCTTATCTTAAGCATTTATAAACAATCAATCTTCACAAATTTATTTACGAAATTCTGAATTAATCAAGATAAACCAATTGCAAATAGTATTAGGGCTAAATTAAGACTATTTTTTTATTAGACATTTAGGAGAAATGCGCCAGCTAAAACAAAAGCATAGCAATAGACTACAAGAGCTATTTAGCTTTAAAAAACATAAAAGAAATGAGAGAAGAGAAGACATATAAAGATTGGAATGGGGAACTGATTTAAATTGAATTATTCAATAAAACAATACTAAGATCAGCATAATTCTTTTGATAAAAAACAAAATTCGTAAGAAAAATAAATATATTCAGTATAAAATATAAATTATATTTTAGATTTAAGTTTTTTTACTAGAAAGAAATTCAGAAATCTCAGGAATTTATTAGCAATAGCAAGGCTTAAGCTTTATTATAATATATTATACTTTATAAAAATATTTCAAATGTAAATCCACTAAATTAAGACTAAACTAAGCAAAAGGCTTTTAATATCTTAAATCAAAATAAGAATTTTATTTTCACAATTCAATTGATTATTATTCCAAAAGCATTCGTTTAGATTTTTACATTGGAGTTCATCTGTTTAAATTTCACATTAGACTTGGCATTTCTATTTCTTTTTTAACCATGAACATTCTTTGATTTTTTTACATTAATCTTCATCATAAATATATTAACATTAGGCCTGACATTTCTAAAGATATGAATAATAATAGTTACCTCATCTTGATATCTACAAAAATTAACAGGGCATTCTTCTTAATTTTTAAAAGATTCACAATTCCTAGAGTTACAATTATTTTGTTTAATGTCATAATAACAATATTTCGATTATTAAATACATTCGCATTTATCTAAAATTTCTTCACATGATAAACAAGTAGAATCATTTAACTCAACACAAGATTCTTAAATAAGGCGTTATCCAGAACATAATAAAGATTTATTGAGATTGCGGCATCCGTGCGAAGTACAAAATTCTGTATCATTCTATATAACCCAAAAGCATGCTCTTTTATTAAACTTCTAGCGGATACAATCAAATTCATTTTTAATTTAAGAGCATTCAACTTATTATTAACAAATTCCATCATTTTTATTCCAATCACAATCATTTAAAATGCAATTTTTATCGTTATAATCAATACATTATTTTGTTTTACAACTCTCTTCAAATTTACAAAATTATGAATTTTCAGAACAAAGCTGCTAACTAAATTTTTCACATGAAAATTATTCACAAAATCCTTTCTTATTTATCATTTAACAAGGTCTTCCATTAAATTAATATTAAGAGCATTCATAAGTAGAGTGAATTATATCTTCACATTTTGATGCTGATTAACATTATTCAGAATTGTTCCAGTAACAAGTAATTCCTAGAATTTTATTGTTATCACATTTCTCTGCTTTCAAATCTTAACATGTCTTTTATCTACATTTATGATTATATTAAATATCAATTTCACTATTTGAAGGGATATTTAAAAAAATACAATGGCTTTATTCTTAACATCTTTCAATATTAGTAATATAATTGCAATGATAATTATCAATGTATTATTTACATTAGCAATTATTATCTAAATATGAGCAATGTTTCTAATTCTAGCATGCAATCATGCTTAAAGAATCATTTGAGCAAAGTTCATCATAAGCATATGAACATCCATAAACAATTTCATTATATTTACAAGAATCAATAGCATTCTTACAAATTAATTTATTAGCTATTGGAAAATCATCACATTTATAATTATTTCTATTTAATAATTAGCATTTTTAATCAAAAAAACACATTTCAATTTAAACGCATCCAATAATATTTAATCCCATCAATTCACAATTAGTTTCATTTTTATTAGGAACTTCACATTACAATTTTTGTAAATTATAATAACAAGCACCTTCTTTAACCATTGAACAAACTTTAGAATTGACATTTTAAGGAATTTAATTACAGGAGAGATGAGGAATGTAATCTTCACAATGATAATTTTCATCATTTAAATTTTTAATCCAAATGCAAGGATACTTTTATATATTCAAACAAGCAAATTTATTCAATCCTTCTTAAGTACATCTTGCTTATTAAATATCGATAAAATTACAACCATCTTTTATAAATCCACATGGTTTATCTAGATTTATTTATGAACATAAATGAGAAGACCAATTTTATTATTCACATGAATCATCTTTTACATCGAACTTAATTTCTCTACATTTTCTTGTTGTTAAATCCCAAATACAATTTTGCGATTTAATACTAAGACATCCATCTTTATTTAATCCTTCAGTTATACATGATATAGAATTTAAATCATTAACTTTTACACATATTTTCAAATTTGTATCATATTTGACAATATCTCCATTATTTACTAAATTACAAGTGTTAGAATTTATGAATAATAGGTTTGAAGTCTCATAAATTATTAATGGATCGAAAGCCTAACACTTTAAGTCTTTCCAAATACAATATTTTTTGGACCAAAACAATAATCAACAAATTAGCATTACAAATTTTTTTTTGTTAATTATAGACAAGCTATTCTATTTATTCCTTTGGAACAACTGAGATCATCGAATTAAGATACAATTTAGCAAGTTTTAGAAGAATAATCATATTGACATCCTTCATCAATTGGATACTGACAAAAAGCATAATTATTAATTTAAGTTACTTCAATGCATTTTTAATTTCTGATCATTATTAAATTTTATTATTTACATTTTGCATCTTCATATTAACAATATTATCCTTCTGTTTAAATATTTATACATCCAATTAAATTTTAGGCTTATTAGCATAAAATTTAATTGTAATCTGATTTTTTTATTTTTATACATTTACCATCCTAATTCATGCATCCCTCTATTTTGAAATTTGAACATTCATTTAAATTTTTCATATCTTCACATTACTTTAAATTTGATTTTGAAATCTTATAACAATACTCTTTGAATAAACAATTATCTTTATCTAATTCACAAGCCAGTTAGTTGTACCCTTTTAATTCAGAATTTTATTCTGTGCATTCTACTTTAATATCATTTGTAACTTAGGCACATTTATAATTTAACTTATCAAAATAACAAGGAACATCTTATGTTTAAGCACAAAATAAACCATTATTTATATATTCTATTTAGCCACAATTTCGATTTGAATATTCTGACAAGATGGCTTCTTTACATTTTTTTTATTCATAATGACAATATTGAAATGGTGTTTATATACTTACACATGCATTTCTATTTAAATTCTTATTGCATTTTAGTTAAAAAAACAACGATTAGCCCTGAATTTGAATACAACCTTCGTTCCAGTATAATTGAATATCTTTTACGTATTTTAGGGAGTCTTTTAAGTATATAATTTAATTAAATTGCTCACAAGTATATTTATTAAATGAATATATATTAGATATTAAATAATTTTTATAAGACGTATCTTTGTTATCTGAATTATTGAGGTTATTTAAATATTAATATTAGTTATATTCAATACACTTATGTGAAAATCTATCATAAAAGCAAGGTATATCAGTGCTTTAAGAACAAGTATTTGGATTTGTCTGAATAGAGTTTAGACATTTTTAGATATCAAATTATTTATCAAGGTCTTA